CTTACCAGTTTGGGTCTGTTTGGAGAACGCATGTGTGAGGTTATAGTCAAAGTGAGTTTTTATTTCTTTTTCATGTAATGATTAAATGGTTATTTATTAAAAACAAAGATTAGGATTTTTACTTGCTGTTGTAATATAAAAAGGTTTAGGTCTAAAGAAAATGGTATATGTGAGAAGTAAAATCAGTCGTCATACGCATAAAGAGTGCCCTGTGCTCCAGTAGTTCAGAAGCAGATTTAGGGACTTCCATGCTAGAATCCGGGGTTTGGTTCTCCCGAGGTGGACAGAGCGCATATACCTTATTGTAAATTTTTGCGCTAAAATGCAAAAAGTTCTCAGTTCAAATAGCTTAACCCAATGGCAATCCTATTTAATATTTACTTCTGATTTAAAAGCAAGCTACCTATATTAATATGAACTAAAAATCAACCCAGTAATGATTATAGCTAATTTATTATTCTGTTCTTGCTTTTAATAGTTATTATACTGTTTCATCAGTTGGTTATCCATATCTTCAGCAGTGAGGTTGACAACTTTTGATCAAAAGTTTAGAACATCTAGAAAGCTTTTTGTATATGTATTACTGAGTTTGCATTTAGTAAATCGTAATTTCTCATCTCCAAAACTAAATTTTATTTCTTTAATTAGAAGGGATATTGTTCTCGTATTTTTTTATATTTTATTTAACATGTTATCGTTATTAAATTTTTAGGCTGGTGGTGTTAAAGCTTTGATCTCAATATGTATGGAACGCAAGTGGCGACATCTTCAATCGGCAGTTTTTCGCTCGTTGACAGTAATATGCAGTGTTCCTTCAGCAGTTCGAGAAGTAGAAGAGGTAAGATTTTCAATAACATCGATCTATGCTTTAAAAATCAGACTTAAACTGTTAGTGTAGTTTAAGATTATGAATTATAATGTTGATAAAAAGACGATAACTTAAGTATAAAGGTGGCGTATATAACTTTTTTTCAAAACAATTTTATTGATGGTAACTGTTAATGTTATATTTGGTACTCAATGTCTCAAGTCAGGATTTTAAATTTAACGCACAGTTACTTGGATAAAAATATAGAACAGTCTATTGTTTAAGTGTTATATAACATGTAATTCATAATTTATTTTACAATGTGTAATGATCTTATTAATTAAAATTGTTATGGTTTATCACGTTACATGAAATACAGAAAAGATTATTTTTTCTTTCAGGCTAAGGTAATAGAATTTATTACCAATACCCTCTGTAATGACACTTCAAATAATCACCTTCGAAGTGAAGCAGCTGGACTAATAGCTCAAATTACTGCCCCCTGGATGGAGAGTAGTGTTTCCAACTTGCCTAGTATTATAGAAAATATGAAGGAACTTGTAAAATACTTAACAGGTAAGTTACAAGTCTTATTTTCATACATCTTGTGGTAAAATATTTTCCATGTCTTAAGGTTTCGTCGTCATCTCTTTCTTTCAAAAAATAAAACAAAAAATCATTTCAAACTAGATATGTATTTTAAAACTGCTACTAGGAAACTTACGACGAATTTATCTTATTTTCACAGATTTAGCTTCAACTGCAAATACTCAAGAAGTTTTTCTGCTGGCCACTGCAGCGCTAGCTCACCTGTCTTCCTATAATACATCAGCATGCAATTGGTTGAGGAAGTTTCAAACTCTGAGAGTCCTTGTTTCGGCTTGTTATTATGGTGACATATGTGACTTGGTCTTCGTTAGAGAGCAGGTAAAATATAATATACTAAAAGAATAACCATAATGTGTATGTTATTTTTAAACAAGTACACCAAATATTTAAGTCTTTCATAAGTTAAACAGGTTGGTAACAAAGTTAGATTTAAAAAATAGGAAAAAAAAAACCTTTACCGATTAAGTCGCAAGAGCAAAACATTGGCTGAAATATAGTTTTTTTTATTATTATCTGGAGAGTAAGTCTCTTTTTTTCTCTCTCTAACTTTAAAAAAAAATATCTAAGTCCCTCTATAATATGCAATAAATTCTGATAAACATAAATAAGTTGATTTACAAATATCTATCAATTTTATGAAGTATCAGTGAAAATCTCGTAACAGATACTACAAATAAATAAGTTAAATGGTAAACTATCCATGCTTTTGCTATTTTATTATTTATTTAAGAATTTATTTCACATGAAAACTAAGCAACATCATAATTTCAATAGGTAATGACAGTGGTATCTAACATGGCCGCTTCTCAGGATTGTGGCAAGGAAGTGATTGAAAGTGGAGCAGTAGAGTTACTGATACAGTTCCTTCGAGCTCAACCATCCAAACCGCAGAGTCAAGCTGAGGTAGCAGCGTGTGAAAGAATACAAGAAAAATCTGCCATAGTTCTTGCTCATCTATACACTAATAAGGATACGACTGCTAAAATTGTACAGATCAAAGGTAGGTTATTATAATGTTACATTAATTTCAAGTTTTAATTTCCCATTTATTTCCAGGTAGTTGTAAACATACAAACTGTGGAGTAAACACTTTGATTAAGTCAGTAATTCTGCTATAAGTTAATTTAAAAGTATAATAAATACTTATTTTCCTATGCTTTGTTTTGGTTATGAAAAGTTCAAAGTTGAGTAAACATTGTTGCAGTAAACATTCTCTGTGGTATTAAACTAAGATTTTGTTTGTGTTGTGATAAAATAATAATGGTTGTCACTTATAGTGCAGTAGCTTTGTTTAATAGAATCTTTATTTAATTTTGGTCATCTACTCTTTTTCATGAATAGGGGTACAACAACTGTTACGCCTGTGTAAAGATGAAGAAAAGAACTACAGCAGTTCTATTTTAGTTACTTGTGAGGTAAGTTTAATTTCTAATCTCATTTTTTACTGTTGGACAGTTATAATTACAATAATATTGTAACAAAAAAACACTATATTTAAATTTTATCAATCACAGAAAATAGAAAATTCCTAATACATTGATAGACTTGTGTTCTTTCATTATTATATATTGCATATTAATAGAGTATTCCAAAGTTAATTTTTTTGTCAATAGTTATATTTAAAACTTTGTGTTATACACAACATCATTAGCTGCAGTTTTTTAAATTAATTTCATTGTTCAAGGCAGTTAATTTTAATATATTTGTAGTCTTTTTTTTTTAAATCAGCAGTTATGACATTATCAAAATCAGGAAGTTTTAGATAGCATTAACCAATAGTTCTTTAGTGAGTAAAAGAACTCTTACGTATGAAATCACATGGATGTTTAGCGATCATTTGAAAAGTACTACACATCTGCTTTAGTAATATATTCCCCCACAATCAAGTGCATGTATTTGATCTGAGAGGGATTTAACGAGTCGATCCTCGAGTTAAGAATCACTAGTGTTTATGATAGTTTATTGGAATGATTCTGTCTGTAGTCTATGCATGTAAAAATTGATTTTTTTATGTACTATATACAAATCATTTTAAAAAACTGGAAGGAAGTCAGCAAAATAAAATTTAGTTACATAAATATAACAAAGATTAAATGTCTGATAACAGATGAAATAAATGTTACTTCATAAGTTTTTTTTTCTCTCAGGAAACAGAAACCAAATAATATTAGACCTAGTCAAACTGTGAATGAAAAATATGTATTTGTTATACTAGAAAAAGACTGTAGAAGAAACAATGAAAGCAGTGTTATTATTTAATTATTACAGGAAACACCAGGAAAATATGGAACAGCCTGTGACACAAAAGAAACAACAATACTTGTTAAAGAGAGATCCTGGGATTCATGTCAGGGGTCCTCTTCAGAACAAATGTTTTTTATCTAAGTCAAGAAAACTTCCAAAATGACTAGTTATATGTATATACTTAAAACTGAATATTCTAAGTCACTTATATTTCAAAGAAGATTATGTAAATAGCACTTAGTCATTTATTTCACAAATAATTATGTAAGTTATATAATTTAGTCAGCAGTCATGACATAAGCTATTAAAAAATGTTATGTAAAAACCATGTAATTTTATACAACGCTGTATGAAGAACCAAATTATTGAGATTAATGATAATTTGTCATTTCTATTTAGTCATTCATGTTTATTTTTATATAAAGATAAGTGAGGTGTTAAAATTATATTATAACTGAGCTTTAGTATAATTCACTACACTATATAATAAACAAGTTTCAGTGTGAGTAAAAGTTGCAGAGTTGATATAAATGTTTAAGTAGGTACAGGTACAAAGTTATGATGCTAGACCAGTTTTAAATATTTGTTTTTAATGTTTCTCTTCTTTTGTTTTAACTATTTGAAAACAACAACTGTGTTACTATGGAATCTGCTGAACTCTTCAAATCTGTAGAATACTGTTTAACATACATATTTTTTAGTTTAGAAACAAATTTGGATAATTTTGAGTTTGTACCCATTTTAGCTACATTTTGTGTAAAACATCATGCTTTTACACTTCAAAAGAATATGGTGAGTCATGTATTGCAAGTACCTTTTATCATGACTAGTTATGTAATATAAGTCATGAGACTTAAAAATAGTTACATTTTCTTGATGTAAGAAAATATATGTGAAATCTAGTCATCTTATTGCTAGTGGTTTAGTTCTGAAGAACTTGAGATTTATGTAAAATTACTAATGCATATATATATATATCTCATCTACAAGTCTGTATGGAATCATCTTATACAGCAAAGTACATGTAGTAATTTGTTTTTGCCCAGAAGTTTACTTACCACTCAGCCTCAAGGGGGGGCCCAATCAATGAAAATTTGTACATTATTCATATGAAAAACTGGTTAAAATACTGTTTTGTATGCATTTAAATATTAACAAAGTATGCTATTTATTGATAATTGTTTTATAAAGTAGTGTATTAATATATTCTATGTGCAAATGTACAGGTTTCCTACAGCTTTGTTCTTATAAGCAGTTAACGTGTAATAAACATTTTGTGTAAAATAATTTTTCTGTGTCTTTTAGAAAATATAATTCTCATACACTGCCATTTTTATGTATTAAAAAAACGAGTTTTCTTTGTCTTTTTAACAAAAAACATCATTTGCTAGAGATGTATCTTAACTTAAACAAAATTTGTACATATAGTTTATTCTAGAGACCAACATTCAGTGAATAAAGCTTGCACTGAATAAAGTAATATTGTATTAGGACAAATACTACAAAACTTAGCATAATTAGACAAATCTTTGATCAGTCTTTTAATAATCAGATGCAAACTCCTCACAAATGTGATTCACAGTCCCACCTCAAAAAAAACCATCAGTTCTTTCTTATGCAAAAAAAAAAGTATTTGTTAGGTTAAACTATCAAACACAAAATACTACAGTCCTCTTAACTGTTGAAGCACAAAAGTATTAACAAATTTCTTTAGTATAAACAAGTTCAATAAATTAATCAAAATAGTCTTCTATATCAATATTTGGATTTAGCAACTCTTCTCCATAGGCTGACAAATCCATCTGGTTTAAAATTAGGTTTTCAAAGGTCTCTTCTAAATCAGTGTCTCCAATGAGAACAGCTCCCATCATTCTTCCATCTTTTAAAATAACCTTTACATATTCTTTACCTTTTGTCACTCTCACTAATATCTCATAGTCTCTTCCAAGGCCTTGAGCATTGTACAAGCCAAGCAGCACTACCTGGTAATAAAAACAATACGTTCTAATAGAAAATGTCATCTTCATGGCTTTAAATAATATTTAAAAAAGTTTAAGTCATGTTGTGTTGTAAAAAAACAATTAGAAAACTTAATGTAAAAATCACATTTAATTTTTCAGTGATAAAGAAAACAAAGGAACTATTACATGATCAAAAAACTGTTGCACGTTTCATAAAGAATTGCCAGTGAGGCATTGTTAGAGATATGTGTCCACATGATACTTTTTGACGACATTTCTAAAAGTGAAGAACATATATGAAGCTTTGTTGGAGAGATGTGTTCAGGATGATGTCCACGTGAAACTGTTTTACAAATGTGTCTAAGAGTGGAGAACCTTAAACTTTGTTATAAAAATGTGTCCTGGATGAGGTTTTCCAGAGGAATTATTGTAAAAATCTAGTGAAGATGCATGTTCATAGTGCACTACTGAATTAGCCCATCCAAGAATGATACTTAATGTTTGTCTCAAAAAAATCTAATAAAAATTAAGAAAGGGGTATTACTACTAAACAGAGCATAAAAGATTACTAATTTCATTAACTAAGCATTTATCTTTGTTTGAGGGATACAATAATGTATTTTAATTTTCTTTTTAGTGGCATCAACTGAAGATAAATATTCTTTTTCCAAAAGTTAAGAAAGGTTAAATGCAGAATGACAAATCAACAAATTATTAGGTTAAGATGGCTTAATTACTTGAGTATTAATCATAGTTGTATGTTGCCCACAAACTTGGATATTTTAGGCTAAAATGTTCATAATATAAAAGCTGAGACCATCACACGTGCATAAAAATAAGATAATTGAAAAGCAACAGCTAAATAAACACCCAAGTCAACAATGACAAACTTGGATGAAAGGTTTTCACTATTTCTTGAGTGTTATACAATTTTAGGAAGAAATATAATGCAAAACACAGTAATTCAAGATTACAAAATTATGCTTGGTTTCAGAATTAATCTAAATAAATATTTAAAGCACACAAACTTGAGATAAATATTTATAATACTAAATTTTGAAGGAAGATCTAGAACACTTTTATGTTTACAATTTCAATGACACAATATGAATGAAATAGTAAAGATAAAGGAATAAAAAACTTTATTTAAGCCTCAGCTTACAGACTGATAACAGCCCTTCTTCAGAGGTATAAAAAATGAATTTGGAGTCTGAAAACCTAGGCTTGATGTATATTTTATTCTATGTTATAAGCACACAATGGAAAATTAGATTAGATACCAAGAAATTGTAAGTAAAATTTTCAAAACTTTTTGGCTATAATTTAGTTTGATTTTATGTATAAAAAAGTTCTGGTAGTATTGAAAATAAGATAGTAGCATTTTAAATTTTTTTCTTAGTAATTTAAATTGGCAGCAGGCAATAAATATAGAAATTAATACAATGCCTTCATTTTGGGTTTATCTGGGAAGAGAGATTAATTCAGGTGAATTTAACATACTACCAATGTAAAAATTCAAATTCAATACATGAAGATACTTAAAAAAATCCTGTAGTTTGGTTAATATTTGCAGTTTTACATTGAAACTTGTTGGGTGGGAAAATGAAATTGCATCAATTTTCCATGATCTAAGTTTAGAAAAAAAGTTTTTAGATATTATTTTGTTTTTCTAAGCAACATTTTTCATACTATAAGCCTTTGCAATCATGCTGTACAACTGAACTGACGTGTTGCTGATTCACCTATGGAAAGCAATGAACTTGCCTAGGCATGTTATGGCAGGCACTGAAGGTACTTAACTGACTACAGCTTACATCTCTTTGTTGTTTGCTGTTTCCAGATTACAAGTTATTATCTGCATATAGCATATTGAGAACAGTTACTCAAATGGCTTGGTGGGTATAAAATTACTTTCAATTTTTTAGCAATATCAAACAACAAACAGTCACAACTTCATTATGTGCCCCTCTCAAAATGTCTTTGAGGAAATGGATAAAATCAATCATTCCTCCCAAAGCCAGCTGATCCAGAGATGAGGATCGTGTGCCTTCCTAAGAAACCAAGTGGCCCACCTCTACTCCTTGGAGAGAATTATGACGTATTGGTGAGAGATTGAATAAGGAAGGTCCGGCTCAACAGCAGAATGACCAACTGGTTTTATATTTTGCTGGAACTATCGTTTGCAGAAACATATGTACCATGAAAATAGCGAAAAAGTTAATTACAAATGAATAATGAGTAATTTACAGTATATAACAAATTAAGGTATTATTCTTTGTATATACCAAATGTACTTTTACACTATTTCCTCCACAGAAAGATAAACTAATAATAATACTTAAGCCATATGTAGCTAGATAATTTTTTTCAAAAATTTTTGCTAAAAAGGAAACCATCTGTCAAACTTATTAACTCTGAAACATACAATATACAAGCAAATATTTATTATTTTGTTCCAAATGGAGTTTCTGTAACTAAAATACTGAAGTTCAGTTCATGTGAACTTCTCAAAGGAAACATACTCATCCATTGACTAGCTTTGCCTCATGTATTTCTATATTCACATACTTCTCTCTGAGATTTCACAAATAAGATAATAAACTCTTTTATTGTATAGATTCCCATCTTCAATACAATGTTAGCAAATCTGTTTAGATTTCCTTCAAGTCACACTGCAGTGCTACACAGTGGTACAAATTGGAGAAGACCAATAGAAGTTTAAGATACATGTTGCTAACAATGATTGGCACCTGCATACAAATCCACAAAATTCTAAAACAAATACACAACTTCATAAAAGTGTATTAAAAAAAATATGTTTTTTCTATTGGAAGGTGACCATTACAAAATTCACTAATTTTGTTTTGTACACAACAAAAATCATCTACAATGTTTATTCATTTCTTATCAACAACAAATTTGTTTAAATATGACACAGGCATATAAAAAAAACAGAAAGAAATAAAATTTCTCTAAACAAAAATGTTTTAGTAAAGCACTTCAATTGGAGATATATATTTAGCATTTAGTATTTTCACTAAAACAGAAACTTGACAAAGTTATTCTTTTAATTACTGAAACGTCTAATGGTGAATGTGGTCTCTGTTTCCAAACAATTAAGATGATCAATCTTAATACACTTACCTTGTAGCCAAAAAACCTTGTGACATGTGCAAAAAGTTCAAAACAGAAATCCAATACTGCCAATTCTCCTCTAAAGTGTGAAGCCATACAACGGGCTGCATAGTGACCCATCTGTTTTCCCTGTGTCCACAGCTTCATCTGGAATGGAACAACAAGCAATTTGTTTTATAACTTACAAATAACTAATGATTTAATTTCATGAAAGTTATATCAATATTATGTTCAAATTATTATTTTGATGGTAAGATGAAGATTTTTGTATTTTTAGTCATAGGAGTAATATGCACGCTTGCAGAATCTTGAATTTTTTTGCAGTTTCTATTTATTTTCATGTGAAATCTAAAACTGTTGCATAATAGCCAAGGAAAATAAGTTACACATTCTAGTCATAAAAAGTGAAGTATTTAGAGGCATGTTAGGTATACAAAGTGTCTTCTACTGTTTCACACTTAAACTATCACTACTAACTTGTGAAATTTTTCATATGAAACATAGATGAAAAACAAAACATCTTAGCTGAAGGCATTTCATCTTTTAAAATAGGAGAAATGAATCATACAAGTTATGTTTAAAAATCCAGAAATAAATGAAAGTTCACTGTTCAGGAGTAATTATGTTCACACAAATTCAAGTTTTATCTACTGTAATTTTTGGTCAGAAACTGACTTTAAACATTTATTGCAATCGTTAGCCAGAAAGCACCAAGGTAGACAGATTGCTTCACAGAGGCAGATATAATTCCAAAGATTACAATGGGTTTTTAGCCCAATTAATTCTCATGCCAAGAGGATCTTTTGTTTTTCAAACAACAAAGTACTGGTAATAAATACATGTTGGTTTCCAAGAATAAAAACTTATCTAACAGAATAAAGCCAAGCCTTCTTTCTTGCTTTAATTCTCTTATTCATATTCTAGGAAAAAAACCTATATAAAATAAAAGAAGAAAAATAAAAACCACGGTTTTATTAGTAAAACCATGTGAAGAGGGGTAACAAGATGAAAAAACATACAATTTTGTTAAAACAGAAAGAGGAAGAAATAGACATACAGGCTGACATATAAAACAAAAAGTGAATAATTTTACTTATTCAAAGTGTTGTCTTCAAACTATACAAGGCATTTAGTGTGTAAGTAGTAAAACTACAGAAAGAACTGTGAATAATGATATATATATCATTAGACACAAAACCTAATGCTTCGATGTTGTAAAGAAAATTCCTTTTATAGTACCAATTCATAGTCATATTGTTTGATAAAACTTTTCAACCATGTGTAATTTAAAACTTGCATAAGAGCAAACGAATAGTGATTGTTAGATAATAACAGGGAAGGAGTTGTAACACTTGCAATAAATTAGTCAAGGTCTATAAAACAACTGATGATGTAGATTATAGGGAGTCTATCATGCTTGAAAGTATGATATGAAACTAAAAGCAATTGGCATTTCCTTGTGACTGTCTATGGTTTATAAACAAAAATTATCAAATTAGAGAAAGACCAACAACTTTATTCACAGACAAGTCTGCTTGATACATAAAGGCCAGGTAGAATATTCAGCACCCGCCCAGTGAAAGTGGATTTTCTCAGGGTACTCCCTTTTATAGATCCCAGGCCTGAAAAGGACTGCACCTTAGTATGCCTTAACTTATTTATGTTTTTGTTTAAATAAACAAATATAGATGGTTAGATCAGTCTAAAATTAATCATTTAATTTATTCAAACTGTATGTTCAGCCTTAAGATGCAAAACTAGTGGATTAAACCAGGTCAGCATCTCTCTGCCCTACTCTACGTCTCATTTCTCCGAGCACCGACTGGTGTTACAACCACGTAGAGAGATGACACTACATGTATGAACAATACCGCATGTGTCCACACTTCATCTCTATAGTCCGGTTCTATACAATCCAAGATGAAGCAGCAAAGATGGACTTCAAGAAGCTCGCCTTCCTTCTTTTTTTTCCCTGATCTTCACATTCACGGATTTTCCAATATCTTGAGGCAGGCACATCAGTTGGCTTACCAGCAAAAGTTAACTACAAAATTTTCCCATTTAATGCCAGAACCATTAAAAGTCAAGTGCTTAATAGTCTTAAATTCTGTTTAAGCACATTCAGCTTTAAATTTCTAATGTTAATGCTAAATTTTCATCCTCACTATTGGATTAAAACCTTAATTTCATGAGCAGAGCAAAGAGAAACAAAAGTTTCTGAATGCTCCTGGTTGTCTCTCAAGCCACTTCCGAGCTTGTTCAATTTAAAAACCAAAATACCTACCAAGTTAGTTGTTTTAAACAGACCATGACTGGTTAAAGGACCAATGGGGCACAAACAATTAAATATGGATTAAAATGAACAATTCTTAATAAGAAACAATGGGGTAAAAAATAAATTATAATTATTAAAGGTTTTTAGAGATTAGAATAGAACATCTTGTAACACACCTAAACACCTTGTAACACACACATTTACACCTAAAAGCATCAAAACCAGAACTTGAAAATAAACTTTAATGGATACTTATGGGTTTGAAATATGTAAAAACAAAAGCACAAGTAACATCAGAGTTGAAATAAACTTCTTGGGACCTCTGATAGAAAGAACCATTTCTGTCTATTCTAGAAAAAGGATCCGGTTGAGAAGAGCTGATCAATAAGAGAATTAAAGCAATATCCTACAGTAGTTTTACAAAATAGCTAAGGTAAAGCTACCACAGAAGCTGTGTCCAAAATAACTGTACAATGAGGTATAGCTTATGGGGTAGTACTAGTGATTTAAAAAAAACAAAACATTATTCACTTTTGGAATTTTATAACTGGAAATCAAACAAACATTTTTTCTCAAAAGTGTTCTTCTGAAAGAAAAAGAAAATCCACCACCAGATATGAAACAAAGGTGATGTTATTCATGCTTAATCATCAGTGAGAATCCTAGATGTAGTTATATATATATATATATATATATCTAATACTTCAAAGATAGCAGTTAGAAACTGCCAAAGATTCTGTAAGACAGACATATGCTAATGCCTCACAGTAAGTGAATTCTTTGAGATTACAAAACTGTCAAAGACAATAGATGATACAAGAAAAGAAGGTACATTTAAGGACAGTAATGAGGATTCTAAATAAACTTGTCTATAGTAAAAAAGTTAAGAACATTTTTCATATCATGCTAAGATTGAAAATTTTACAGAGTTGCACAGATAAAGCTCAATGTATCAGGTCAAAAGAGAAATCTGGAATATTTAGATGTTTCAGGATTCATCTCAGTGTACTGGATCCCTTCTAACTTAAAGAGGGTAAATGTTACAAATCCCTGCAGTTTACACAGCAGCTACCTACTCATTTAGACATGTAAAGAGAGATGAAAACAGGAGAAGGCATTAAAGTTCTTTGTGAAAATACCTGGAACTGTAGGAAAGGTTAAAACTAATGTGTTTTTTCACTGATATACCAAGGTAGCCTGTAAACACTTAATCACTTAAAACCATCTGTTGTTTTCAAGGACAAAAACTATTAGTGGATAAACATACTGCATTATGTTGAGTAATTTTGTGTTTTGGCCTCTTACAACACACAGAACAGAACAAAGAATTCAGTGAAATTACATATTTTCAGTGTAAAGTAGATAGGAAATACTAGCAATTAGTAGAAATAATTACAGTATTGATGGTCTATTTGTATAATTTATTTTGTTTAATTCATATGTTATAATGGACTTGCAGTTTAGAAAAATGTATTTATGGAACCCCACCAGAAATTCTATGATACAGAAGTACCATTTCTCATTAACAGATATTAGATAAATTTTCAATGTTTCTCTAGATCAATTAATAACATTTACTAAGTTCTTTTATAGCTTATTATTAAATAGTAGTTATTGATCAGCATAAAACATACATTTTCTCATAAAATAGTATTAGCATGATTTATGCAAAGAAAATGTGGTTACACCATATTTTAAGCTGCTAAGTACAGCTCATGATTATATCTGTGGCTGATTTAACTTATCATGTAAATTTAAATAAGACACCAAATAAATCAAACTGATAGAAACATTTTTTTCAGTTTTTACATAAATGTATCTGCAAACACATCTAAACTTTACCATACCTGAAACCAATGTTCTGCAGGGGTCCAAGTACAAGTACAGACATCACCAGCTGCATAAACATCGGGTAGACTGGTCTGTAACTGATCATTGACACTCATTCCTCCATCTTCAGAAAGCTCAAACTATAAAGTCCCAGTAATAAATATCCATATATAAGTTAAAAATAATTAAACAGAATTCACCAGTGAGATGAAGCAAATGAAGTGATATTTGATTTACTCTTTATTTCTTAACAAAATGTTTTTCAACATCTTAAGACAATATTTAACTAAATATTAGGTTGACAAGAAATTAATTTTGCTTTTTTCGGATGAAAAAATCCAAACAACTTATATATCAAAACAAAATATTTATTAAATGAAATAGTCTCCATTCTTATCAATGATGTTTTTCCATCTTACAATCAGGTTGTTAATACCCTGACTAAAGAAATCATTTGGCTTTGAAGCAAAAAACATGTCGATGTCCTCTTTAATACCTTCCATATTTGCATAAGTTTTCCCATTAAGATGGAATTGTATCAAATGAAAAAAAAATGGTAATCTGATGGTGCCATATCTGGAGAATATGGTGGGTGGGGGAGAACTTCCCAACCAAACTTCATAATCTTGTTTTGCATCAAACGTGCCACATGTGGACGTGCATTGTCATGGAGAACACCACCTTTCTGATTGACAAGTGAAGGCCATTTCTAATGAAGGACTTCATTTAAACATTCCAGTTGCTGACTATAGTTCTCTGCATTGACAGTTCGCTGTGGATTGAGGAGTTTGAAATGAATTACTCCTTTGATGTCCCATCAAATGCAAAGCATCACTTTCTGTAGATGGAGTCCAGGTTTTGGGGTCAGAAGTAGTTTTTGTCTAGGACTGAGCCATTGTTTTTGGCATTTAATAATTGCATAGAGAATCCATTTTTCATCACTGGTGACAATTCTATCCAGAAATGGTTCATGCATCAGAAAACAAAGCAGCGTTCCCACATTGAAAACGATGATCATCGGGGAGTTCATGAGGCACCCAAACACCTTCTTTATGGAGTTTTCCCATATTCCTTAGATGTTTACGTATTGTTTCAGGACCATTTCACAAGTGTGTTGCCTTGGGTTAGACTCAACAGGCATCTTCAGAGCATCAATATCAATTCCCAACACAGTTTTTAAGGCTAAAGTCACTTGAATGAAATTTGCTTAATAATCGTTGACACTTACAAACATTCAAAACATTTCCATAAACTTCTTTGATATTCTTTGTGGTAACAGAGGCGTTGTTTCCCTTCTTGTATTCAAACAGCATTACATGCCAAATGTGTGTCTTGTCATGTGCCATCACTATAAGGGATTAGAATATACTAAACTTTACACATTTTATAGGCTACATTAACATGACGTTTAGGTGGTTCATTTAACTAATTATATGTGATGTACGTTTTTTTTGGGGGGGGGTAATGAAAGTGTTCCAAACTGTGACATTAATTTCTTGACGACCTAATATATTAAAATTATAGTGAAAATTAGCAGCGATTTACAGGTACAAATAAATAAATGAGCATGAATTAACAACTCTTCTTCAGGTTGATATATATATATACTCATGGAAGGGCACTTCCTCAAAATGTTCTGTATTAATGTTTTTTGGCTTTTATATGGTGTTTACTTACACTAATCTATTTCATAAACTCTTGTTGTAGTTCAGAGATGTCTTATACTTAGACATCTTTCATGGCAACTTATTTCTATACTTTACATTGTTTCTACTGCTAAATAGTGTTTCAGACATTTTTAATAAACTATAAAAAAAACAAAGATTTGCAACTACATAATTATATGTTTTTTGGATATCTGATGACAAGTGTTGAGGGAATACATATTTAATATTTTTAATTTTAGTGTTAAAATATTATGATTTATTCAATCTATTTCAAAGAACTTTAGTTATATGTTGCCTTGAAATTATCCTAAATTATTCTGTTATCAGAGTTCCTTCATGGATTAAAAAATCTATTTATCATCATAGTTGAATACATTTTGAATCTGAAATGGACTATTTTCAGGATTTCACTTTTTTCTAAGACTCTTGATATCTACAACTAAAATGAACTTGATTTTGAAATAGATCAGAAAAAATGTTTTTTAAACTCATTTCTACACAGAATATTGCACATTAAAGCAGTAGTAGTCAATATAAAGATTTTTAAGTAAGAAAATATTCTTCATGTACCTGATTTCCTGGCAGAAAAGATTCAACATTGGGAACCACACCAGTTGCACTAACAACAAAATCACAGCCATACACTTTCCCATTTGTTAGTTTAACATAAACAGGCCAAGAACCTAAAAACAGAGAAAGAGAAAAAACATTAAAGTTTTCTGGTTTGTAATGAGACACGCATTTAAGAAACTTTTTCTACAATCAAATATATATATAAAAGCCAGTTGTGTTTTACTAATACTCCATCTGTGTCACTTAGCAAAAAACAACACCTCTATTAGATTCGAACATAGAAACGCAAAAAAACTTATCTATATAGGTTACATCAACTTACAGGGGCAAAAACAATAGGTATAGGTTGCACTAGCCTACAGAAGCAAAAACCACCTCAACTGTATAAGTCACATCAGCTTACAGGGGAAACAATTATTTCAACTGTGTAGGACACACACAAATACAAGGGAAAAAGTATCTCAACTGTTTTGATTGTATCAGCTTAGAGGATCAAAAACTGTCTTAACTATATAGGTCAAATCAGCTTACAGGGGCAACAACTATCTTAACTATATAGGTCAAATCAGCTAATAGGGACAAAAAAATACTTTAACTGTAGATATAGATGTGACCTACACAGTTGTTAGTTTTGACCTTGTAAGCATTTGTTCTATACAGTTAATTTTTGCCCCTATAAGCTGAAGTGACCTATACAGTTAAGATATTTGTTGCCCCTGTAAGCTGATGTGACCTATACAATAAAGATAATTTTTCCCCTGTAAGCTGTTGCAAAATATGCAGATAAGATAGTAGTTTTTGTCACTGTAAGCTGATGCAGCTTATACAGTTAAGGTAGTTCTTGCCCTTCTAACCTGAAGTGTCCTATACATTTAAGTTACTTTATCTCTATAAACTAATATGAACATTTCGCCCCTGTAAGCTAATGTGACATATACAGTTAAGATTGTTTTTACCCTTGTAAGTTGATGTGACCTATACAGTTACATTGGTTTTTGCCCCTGTAAATTGATGTGACCTATACAGTTACATTGGTTTTTGCCCATGTAAATTCATGTGACCTATACAGTTACATTGGTTTTTGCTCCTGTAAATTTATGTGACCTATACAGTTACATTGGTTTTTGCCCCTGTAAATTGATATGACCTATACAGTTAGGTTAGTTGTTGCTCCTGAAAACTGATATGACCTATACATTTAAGGCAGTTTTTGCCATTGTAAGATGGTTTGCCCTATATAGTTTTTGTCCCTGTAAGCTTAAGTATCTTATAGATACTTACCTCTTTTCACATATCTTTCCTTGATTTGTGCTGCTCTTTATATGCACAATTTTTGTTTGCTATTAGCTTTGAGGATCCCACCTAATATAATATGTTTACACTTGGTATAGCAGCACTGTAGAATGCAAATGAGCATGTACAACCTTCCACCAATAGGAGTGCAACACCCACTCCTTGCAGAGCTGACTCTCTCTATATTGTAAAGCACAATCATCACTTCAAGGAAAAAAAAAACACACTGGAAGTGGGGAGGATGGGCGACAAGTGTGAGAGGAGGTAAATATGTATAAGAAATATATTTTCAGTGTTGGAAAGTGTTAACTTCTGATACTATACCTTACTTCTTCTCACATAATAGCTAGAATCCAACAATGGAGGCTCAGAACTGGTAAGTGGGAAGGACTCCTGTAGTCCACTAGAAGAAGGGGGGGGGGCAATGCAGTAAGAAGTCTGGAAGAATACAACACCTTAAGACTGTGCAAGGAGTGACCACAAAAACCTATTTTGAAAAGCAGGGCATTCCCAGTTTATTCAACTAGGACCAGAGGGATGGACAGCAATATCTCGATACTGCTTTACTCATGATAGCTCACGAATTGGTAGTCTTGGAATGGACCTTATTTATGAAGCAATATACCACAAAGAACCACTGAGTGGTCTTATGGAACACTCCATCTCATCAGAGAGCATTATAGACCTTAAAAGGTTGCATGATGAAGATTTAAAATTAAGTATACCTGACACACTCCACTCACTACTGAGCAGGATCCAGAGATTTAGAAAAAAGCTACTGTAAAGGCAAAATATATAAAAAGAGAACTTACCCATTCAGAGCCAGTAAGGGGTATGTAGAATGATGACAGGAGGAAGTCAATGTATGGAAGAGGAAAAAACAACCAAAAAAGGAAGAAAATATGCAACAAAAATAAGTGGGGTAGTTCACACACCACTTTGCAAGAACTCCTCCAACAGATGATAGAAGTGAAGAGCCAGAGAAAGAGTAAAGTGTAAGATCTGTTGAGAGGAGACTTGAAAGAGTCGGTGTGAATCTACATCTAATGAAGCATAGGCTAAATGAATGAGATGCTGTAGTCATCCCTTGAGAGTAACAGGAGAAATATCTCAGGGAGATGAGGAATTCCAAAGAATAAATAGATATGAGCATAGCAGGCCGAAGAACAAAGAATCACTTGGATGGGACAAAGAAAATCGAGAAATGGAAGGAAAAATATGGGAAGCAGCAATGGCATACACATCATATCTTCTACAGTTACAGGCAAAAAGTAAGAAGCAGGACCTAAGTGAAAGATGGTACAAGGAACAAGAGACTGAAGGGTCTAAGAAAAGAAGGGTTAGGACATGGAGAACAGTATTCAGGTTCAAAACATGAAGGATTATAAAACAAGGAGGATGAGGGTGATAAAAAGAACAAAAAAGCATAGAAAAGACAGGAGAAGAAAATACGTGATAATAATGAGAAAACTGCAAAGTATTAGGTAAAGCATCCCAGTAACTAGCCATGGTCGAAAATGATAAGCCTTGTTGGAACAGCCAATGAAAAAAATTTGGAAAGATGGGGGATAAAAGGAAGTGAATGGAACAAAACAATGCAGAGACCAACTACAGAATGTGTGCCCTTATTGTGGATAGACAAGGAGAGAGGAAGAATGAAATGAACAAGAAAGTAGAAAGGCTACATGTAAAGAGAGTCTGGAACATCTCACAAGGAACTGGACAAAACCAACACATGAAGTCAGAGTGATGACACTGCTGATTGTTAGAGGGAGAGTGAGGTTGAAGGAGTAGGGAAAGTGACAAAAGTAAAGGAGAGGGCAGGAGAAGATGCAATAGAGGAAACCACAGCTGAGCCAGCTAGCATGGGGTTATCAGGAGGACTCAACATGGACAAGACAAGTAGAAGGGTATGCATGGAGACAAAAAGTGGGACCAGTCCTGTTGGAATGTATCCCAGCTAAAAATAAAAAGACCAGAAAAAGTTAAGTGTCGAGAAGAGTGGCAAAAACATAGAGAAGAAGAGTGTCAAGATGAGAGCACAGCCAGTTGAACACCAGGGGCAAAACTGAAGATAGTATTTTGGTGGGCCTCGATAGATGATCCACAACAAGACTCGGGGCACCTGGAATAAAACAAGCTATTAAATGTACTTATATGGAATGGGCCCAGAAAAGGAGGTCAATAGTGTGGAAACAGGAAGAGCGAGACAAAGTGTCTCCCTGGTGATTATGGAGATATCTGCAGAGTTGACTGTATGTACCATCAAGAAATGTTTATGAACCATCCTCCAAAATATCCAAAATTCAACTTACTGCCAAAAGTTCTAAGAGATGGACAATATGTTATGATACCAATGATCCAAATTCATGTGAGAATCGAGACATGCCCCCCACCCATCTCAAGGTGGGATCTGGAAACAGAAGACATAGATGAGAAGAGGAGGAATACCCACTGTGGGAATAGTTTTATCAAGTCACCAGATGAAGTATTTGAATAAAGAAGGAGAATGGTAGAAAATGAGAGATCCCAAGCAAGTGCAGTCCATTGTAGATGTCACAAATGAACATGATCCAAGGGAATGCGGGAGCCCATGGAAGCCTAAGTCCTGAAAAGAGAGAGAACCTCTCACACAGTGAGGGAAGGAGAAGATATGGCATGGAAAACCAATCGCTCCATGTCCCTCAAAAGAAGAGTAGAATGTTGGGTCCTACAGACATACAAACAAAAAAAACATCCTTATCAATGATAAATGAAATGGATGTGAAATGTGACTCCTCCAAGTTGAACCAAACAATTGAGGAGCACAACCTCCCAAAGTACAAGAATAGGGTGGCTATAGGAGGCTCATTGGAACAGAGCCAAATGAGAAAAGAAGCATCTCAAGACCTGAGGCAAATGACCCATAGGGTGAGAAATTCCCCATGGGAAAGCGAGGGAAGACAAGAAACTGGCTGAGATATGAAAGATGTAAGGCCTAACATCTATTTACAAATTTGCTGGGAACCACAAAAAGATGAGAAGAAAAAACTGGAAAAGGATGAGAAACCCATCCAACAGCAATTGTAGCCATGAAGATCAACACTGTCAAGAAACAAGACCTCTTGGAAGATGTAAAATAATGGGAATAGGAGACACTGGAGAAGGAGAGGGAAAAAATGAAGGTTAAGACTGATAGAAATCCCAGTACACAACAATTGGACACAACGGATGGCAAAGGTTCATAAACCAAATAAAACAGGCTCTACTGATACTGAGCCTTCATCACCAAGACTGACAGTGGCAAAGTCTATAAGTGGTAGAAGGACAAATGGTAAGTGATGACAGAGAGAGAGGAGGAAGCAGGTGGACAGGAAACAAAGAGAGGCAAAGAAGGAAAAGAGAGAGAACCTCCCACACAGTGAGGGAAGGAGACGATATGGCGTGGAAAACCAATCTCTCCCAGTCCCTCAAAAGAAGAGTAGAAGGTTGGCCCTACAGACATATAAATAAAAAACATTCTAATCAATGAGAAATGATTGGCATGTGGCCCCAACATATGACACCAGAGATACGAATATACCAGTAAAATCATACAGGCAGATGAAAGGAGCCAGAAAAAGACATATGAGATATAAGGGAGGCAAAAGCAATTGAAAAACAAGGGCATCACACCCCAACTAAATCTAACAAAAGGTCAACTGAATAAGATGTGAAAATGTTGAGGAAGTGTTAAACATAAACAACTGTTTCAGTTTAAGTGCAATGTGAGAGTTATGATTTAGATAGTTTATATAGTGCAGGTGTCATATTTAGTTATTTTTAGAAGCGATAGTTT